CTTTTAAAGATCAAAGTACTAACATGATGTTTTCAGTATTTTAGAAGACTGCTTAGGAAGGAATAAGAATAAGAAATTATAAATTTAAAATAAACATCTAATTTAAGCACGTTTTGGGTAACTATATATTTGCAAACTCATCACTATTCCTTGCTATGATAACTTGAGCAAAATGAAACTCACTTTGCATATTTGACAAAATTGAGAAGCACAACATCAATATAATCCAGCTGTTCATCGGAAGAATGATTGATGTGAATACTACTGGACCAGATATCCAGAGTTGTACAGATAGTATCCCGATGCAGTGTACTCCATGGCCCATCATCTATTATGCAAAAATCCATATAAGCGTTACTGTGAGTGTGATTAATTTTTATGAATAAGACCGCAAGTAGGTAATGACTTAAAACTAAATGATAAAAAATCCAAATCTAAGATAATAAAAAAGAGTAAGGAAATAAAAAGAAATAATTCTGCAAAAGTTATATTGGTCTTCAGGAAAAATTTTCATCTCGCCAAAGCAAACTGATTTGTTAATATAAATCCAATCAAAAAGCAGTCCAGTTCACAGAAAAAAGCAAATATCCCATGTTCCAGTAAGTTAAAGCAAAGCAGTCCCAAATTTTGAAATGGTTACGATCAAGCAGATCATATGCAAAAAGATGCCGGCAAAAAGGACGTACCAGAGGATTCACTGTTACTTAAATGCAAACAAATAGCTAATTTTTCAGGAACTTGTTCTGTCGAAGGGAAGATTTTGACAAAAAGCGCTTTTTCAAAGAAAATCCGTCTCACTATTCGATTTTTATATATTTCACTACCAAACAATTTCTGCAATATATAATATACAGTATAATTTCACTATGGTAGACAATGTCCTAAGCATCAGTAAGATCGCTTTGAAAATAATTATGGATGAGGGCAAAAGCTGTGCATAGGGCACTAATACTCTTTTTAAAAAAATTCTAACCTTAATTTTTATTCAATTAGATTTTAAAATAGCTTTATTCCAGAAGCATTCTCACCTCTCACTGTTTCCATTTACATTTAAAGGTTAGACATTACTAACTCGTCTTATATTTCTATAAAAAGATCTCCATGTACTCCTAATACTGGAGTAGCGAAGCATACCTGGAGCATTTCGCCATTTTTTACTGCAAGTAAAACAAGTATGAGTAGGTTTTCTAAATGAGCTATACCATTCGAAGTATCAGTAAGCAGTCTCACGCTAATACGTCTCCAAATCATATCGTCTACCTTGGACCCTAACCAGGTTACCAGCGTTCGAAACGCCTGAAAATAGAAATTAGGTAAAAATATTCGGTGAAGAGTCGTAATATATTTAATGCATGATTATATCGCTTTATTTCAGAAGCATTCTTACCCGCTCTTATTGTTTCCACCTCTAACTAACATTAAACAAACAAGTTACCAACTGCCTAAAAAATTTTTTGTTCTTTCTAACTAAGAAAAAATCTCGGTTCCGGTACAAAATGTATAAAATGAGAACTGACAACTATATCTCCTCGGCTCAACTCGTAAATGACGCCCGCGAGGAATTCCATGTTTACATTTTTCGCATTTCGACATCTATTCACTGCATCCATAAGAGCAGCTTTCAGTGAATTCAACAAATATATCCAGTGATTGTTTAAATAAGATTTCATAAGTGCGTCATTCACTTTAACCTTAACAAATTATTAGATTTCGAAGAATTTTTACTTTTCCTGAAAACCGTTGCTATCATTCCTTGAACTTTTTCGCAGCTATCACAAAAAACTTGATTATATTCAAGGAATTAAAGTATCACATAAAACTGCAGTTTTTTTTTTTCACACCCTTTATAAGTTTTTTCCACATTAATCAAAAAATTAAAAATGAAGAATTAAAACTAACCAAACTTGAAAGATGGGAATTTCCAAATACATTGTGCACCAAACATGTAGTTTGACCTAAAAGTCTGCATAATTCTCCCTGTTTAGCATTCCAGTTCACTGAAATTGTAGAAGCTGTGTAATGGTTGTGCATAGCATTGTGAATTACATTAAGCAGGTGATGGTCAGAGTATCACTATTGTTTTGATGTCTTCTTTTTTTCAAAAGAAGCCTAAGTTTCTATCAAAAAAAAAAAATTAATGTGCAAAATATGTATGATACATGGATTACTTCAAATTTCACTTCTGAAAATTCTGAAAATGTCACAATGTTTAGGTAGAGAAGACTCTCTGAAAGTATATGCAGTACTAAATTGCTTGATATAAGTAATGAAAGATAGTAAATGAGTAGCTGTTGACCATCATTCGGATCTTTCTCAATACTGTCGACAAGCAACGATTCCAGACATGTTTTCTCCAGATCATCCAATAAAATTATTATATGCTGCAAGCGAAACATCTGAGAGCTATCACAGGAATGCAAAGCATTGATCAAAACCAGGAAAGCATCGTCTACTGCAGCTGAACAGAACAGCGCCCTGAACAGCTCCTTAAATTCATTCGCTGTCAAAAGGCCTGAAATTTTAAAGGAATTTTTTTCTCTTTCTAAGACGAGTACAAACTCATTAACAAAAAACGAAGTAATGACTGGCAATAATCATGCGAAGATGATTAAAATATCTTACAACCAGCTATTGACAATTTCAGCTATTATTTCTTACTTGATGTTCATATTCATATCAAACTACTACTTCAGTAAAATCTGTTAAAAATGTAATCGATCAAGATCGAAACAACTTTCCTTTTGTTTTTACAGTTCCCATTTAATAATTTTGTCACTTTCCCACGTACTTAACATTCTTTCATAACTTTTCGGTCTCATTTCCTATTTTATTATTAGCCTTTTAATATTCACCATTTTCAAATCTATTTGCCTAATTTTAACTCAAACTAAATGTCTTGTCGAAAATAATAAAATGAAGAAGCAGTTACCAATTACGGAAGGATGAAAGATGTCAACTAACTGAGTGAGTATGCGATATTTCGCAAACGATGACTTTTCTGGTGACGACACATACTGAAATTACATACATGGATGAGAGATGGAAAATGGGGAAAATTCATGAATTTCGTTATTGACTTCAGGAATAGCAAAAAAAACTTTAGGGATCAACGTGGCTCGCAGAAACAATAAAATCTGAACAAATCACGAGGTACAGTTACCAAATTTAAATCTAAGACTTGAATAATGTTTCCATGTTCGAGAATTAGGAAAAAAATGAAAAATATTTACCTGTAGAGCATTTTGAAGAGCAGTGAGCAATTCGCATCTGCTTCTAGCACTGCTCAGAGCATGCAATTCTTTATCACACATCTCAAATTACACCTTTTGCATATTCACATTTGAAACAACCAAATTAAAAAAGGTTGGAATTAGTGTGGTATACTTATTTCTTCGGGACTAATATACATCTTTCCCGATTCTCTCGTTTTTATCTTCCTCAGCTGATTTCGTCGGTAGCCCCGACCTGTGCGATACATCCTCATCAGTAATCTTTATTGATAACCAATTCCAACCTTCCAAGACGGTACGGTCAGCGCCGTGAAGTACCAGCCGGTCTGCTGTTCAACTTCTCCATTTGAGTTGCTCATGAGTTAATGGTGGGTTGTGAGGGAGGAGGGGGAAGGAGGAAAGGAAACTGAGAGAGGCTAAAGTTCGGAGGCCAAAAGAGGTCGAAACCTGGAATGAAATTGAGATGTATGGATAAGTTAGTGCGTAGCATTAGATCCTTTAAATAAATTGAATCTTTTAAAACTCAACAGTTAGAATTGATTTTGGTAGTTATAAGAAGAGTCTAACAACTTCGTTAGATTCGATATTAACATATCATTCATTTCAGCTTGATGTAATGGCTTCTCACTTGGAAACAAACCTTGGATTATTGCAAGAATTGGTACGCGTGTTTTTTTTCAACTTTCTACATAAGGGGCTGTATTTTATTGCTTTCTTTTATTCTTGAAATGAAAAATGCATTTTGTGAAATCGTACATAAAAGTATGACGAGTTATGTTAATGACTCACTTCTATATATTGCTGCTAGCTAATTTGTAAGTAGAAATGTCAGAAACACAAAGAAGTTCGTATTGTTTTTTTCTTCTCTAATTACTTATAAATTTACATTTGGTTGTAAAGGATAACAACATGCCAAACTATAGAATGGTATTATCATGATTCAAGAAGCGTACCATTATTGTCGTCAATAGCAGTATATAATGGTACACTTCCTCAAAGGATAAGTGACTAAGTTAACTTTCGTGTTAATTAGTAAGTATAAAGGATAGATGAAAATATAGGTGTTTATGAATTCGCTTAAAATGACAAAATTTTGATTTTTAGATAAACAAAGATCCAGAATCATACAGAGAAGAATTTTTGGGAGAATACAATTTCTATATCAAAACAATAGAATTATTGAAATTGCAACCGAGTTTAAATCATGCGGATCTGCAATCGCTACAGGAACTGATTAATTTCTTAGCATGTACTAGTAACCACTATCCAAGTTAGTTAAGAGATTTATTTATTTGAACTAATGAATTTTTTGTAGTTTGTTTCTGGGCACATATTTCTGCCAGTCTTTTTCAACAAATTTTAAGAGTGCTAATCTATTTAAACTTTCGCGAATTTTGCGATATGTTTTACAGAAGAGGGCAAAGAATATGCGGCTAGTGTTATGGAGATTTTGAATAGTCGACTGACTGGACTTGACCCGGAGGTAATTTTCTGAACTTTTAAAACTTTGAAAGTGGAACTGCATATGATAAGAGAGAATTTGCTAAGTTTTCACCTTGTTATCGGAATTGCTTTCTAAGTAAACTCTATAGTCAACCGAATAAAATTTCCTAAATATGAAGTTCCACTTCAGGTTCGTGTAGCATTTTGCAAAGCTCTTATTACACTACGAAATCGCAGAATCATCGATCCGTTGGCCGTTACCGATTTATTTTTCACGCTTGTTCCTTGTGAGGACAAAAATTTGAGGTTAGTTTCTAATTTTTTACTTGAATCACATGAAGCTTTGCGTGAATATTTCTATTTTTAGGATTGGAACATGGATGAAAAGTGCTAAATTAATCTTCGTTGTCAGCTGATGCTTCTTCAATCAGTCGAGATGAATAAAAAATATGAGAAAAGATGAAGAAAATAATCTTATTTGATTTTCAGAAAATTCATTTGCGGATCAACAAAAGCTTTTATAAAAAAACTTGCGTTACAATATCGGGATCAGAAAATGCTATGTAAAGTTCGAACTTTCTTATTCACGAAACTAAAGGACTCTCGATCCATTGTGGTGCGCACAGCTGCATTGGTAGAGTTTCATTTATTTACCAATTTTTATTCACACGTAGAACTTCTACTATGTTCAAGTTTTAACTATTTGGTTCCCGATATCTTCCAGATACTTATTGATGGATTTCGGAAAGGTTTTTTGAAAGATGCTAAAACAGCAAACGCTCTGGCAGAGTGCTGTTTCCACAAAATTGCACGCATTCAGGTTTGCTTCAACCGCATCTTATAACAGAAATAAAAACAGCTTAATTAATTAGGTAGGAGATAGCCGAAATACTTTCTTGGCCATCATTATAATCTTTTGATGAAGCTTGCGTACCTCGTTTTGAATTTTTGATTAATATTATAGCCGCCAGATTGTAAGTAAACGCTCTTGGTGACAGAAACCGCCGAAAGAAATGAGATATAAAAACTGTTTTACTGCTTGAACTCCTTTAAAGGTTATCGGGCTTGACCAGTGCATTTCTTCTATTTATAGATTGCAGCAATGAGGTTTTTTCTTGGTTCGTTAGAAGACGACGATTCCGATGACGATGAAAGTGGAAGTGAAGGGGAAAATCAGAAAACTTTGAAAGAGGTACATCCTTTATCCAATAACTTGAAGATGAATTTCAAACACTTTTGAGTATTGTATGTTGATATTTTGGATATTTGAAGAAATCTTGATGCAGAAATATTTTTTCAGCTTATCGTTGCATACAAAGCAGCAAAAAAAACTCGCAAAAAAAAGGAAAAATTCATGAAAGCAAAAAAGGTATTAAGCGGTAGTAAAAAATCCAAAAAAGAAAATGCCGGAAAATTCTGCAATCTATTAGCAATTCGTTATATTTACGATCCTCAAACATTTGCTGAGCGATTGTTTGGCTTATTGGAGAATAGGAGGAACGAGAAATTCGAAAAGCGTCTTCTCTGTATGGCGCTATGTGCCCGAATGATTGGTATTCACAAATTGCAAACATTATCGTTTTATTCCTACATGCATCGCTTTCTCCAACCAAAACAAAGAGAAGTTCGTTCATTATCACCAAAATTTTTTTATCAATAATGCTTTTGAAGGCATTAGAATTAAAAGGTAATTTAATTCTGTACTTCAAGAGGGGGAATTCCCAATTGCAGGACATTTTAAACAGATGCTTTTCAGATTACCAAAATATTGCTTTACGTGGCACAAGCTTGTCATGAATTGGTACCGCCAGATATTGTTGAACAATTGGTGTATGTTATTGCCCAAAACTTTGTTTCTGACCGAAATACACCGGAAGCAGTAACAGTTGGGTTAAATACTATACGTGAAATATTCGCGAACTGTCCTTTTGCTGCAACAGAGGACCTGCTTAGAGATTTGACTGATGTATGTATTCACTTCCTCTTTATCTTTTCCTTTTGAAACTTCCCGAAATGTGTTGAAATAAACCGCAGATAGTTATTAACATTATAGAGAAAGATACCGGAGATTTTTATATTTTGAGTGTAGTAGAAAGTGATAATCTGGAAAGCAAATGAGTAAAAAATTGCAAACGAAACAATTATAGTTGTTAGAATAGCTCAAGAAGCATAAAATACTATTGTGTCTGTTTGTCTTTATTCAGTGATTTTTTCAGTATAAGCGTTTTAAAAACAAGAATGTATCCATGGCGGCACGAGCTATCATTACTTTATTTCGCGCTATTAATCCAAAGCTCTTACATAGAAAGGATCGAGGAAAGTTAGTGAACCATCCTCATATGTTTTAAGTTTTTTGTTGTGACAAACTTTGTGATGTCTTGGAATATTTTCAGACCGACACAAAAATTGAAAGATTTGAAAGTGGCTGAATTCGGTGTTGAACATCCAAAAGAATTCGTTGAAGGAGCAGAGTGCCTATCATTGGAAGCAGATGCATCTGATACTGATTTCGTATGTTTCCTTATTATCTTCAGGGAAGGGAGAATGTTACATTTTTTTATTTTTTGAGATGAATTTTTCTTGACACTAAATAAAAGCTTTTTCTTTAAAAGTTTTAATTCACTCTAATCCTTCCTAAGCCACCCTTTCCGGGTTTTTTTAATGCAGTAGGATCACGTTCAAGATAATTTATATTATTTGTCGTAATATTACGATTTTATAATAATATCATCAAAACGCTTATCAGATGCAAATTGATGGGAGCGATGATACTGATTTTGATACTGAATTTGTTGAGAAAGACTCAGATTTAGACGGAGATATGAATTCGTGTGGTAGTCACGTAGCTGCAACTAATATTTGCGCAGACAATGAAGGTTCTTCAAGTAAGAACATTTGTGAAATGGTAACTTATTTCTGATTTTTGTGCGCATTTATTGGCAATTTAGTTCTGTAATTGTAACTTTTATGTGGTTGAGGAAAAGACAAAAATGAAAGTGGCAAAAAAATTAAAATTCTTCTTAAACCATGTTTTTATCTTTTATTTCTCACTGTTCAAGACTTTGTTTAAGACTTTTTCCCGAATTAGCTAATCTGATTTGGTAACTATATTAAACTTAACCAAGTCATTAGTGCAGGATGATCAGAAAACCACATCTTCTGAACCAAAAGAAAAAGCAAAGCAGGTATGTGAAACTCGAATTTTAACTCAAGATGATTTCCGCAAAATCAATGCTTTCCGTTTGAAACAACATATAGGATGTGGTGAAAAACAAAGAAACGATGATGTGAAATTGGAAGAAGAAGTGGAAGAAATGATCGCTAGGCATTTTTTTATTATTCGTTTAGGAAAATGGAATGCTAAGAATTTTTATGTTTAATGAATATCCTTATTATTTTTATAATTTGAGAGGAGAGAAAAAGAGTAGAATTCTATATTCAAAATTTGTTTTTGCACCGATATGAATTTATTAAGAACATACATTATGCAGGCAAAATGAAAATGGTTTGCCACGGCTTAGAGACATTGAAAAATTCCACAAAAAATTGCGAAAAGAAACGAAAGAAGAACGAATGGAGACGGTAAAGAAAGGTCGAGAGGGACGGCAACAATTTGGGAGGCCTAAAAAGACGGTAAT